TATGCTATGCTGTGATATGCCGTACGCGCTATGCTATGCTATGCTATGCCGTACGCGCTATGCTATGCCGCTATGCTATGTACGCGCTATGCTATGTACGCGCTTGCGACAGCGCCGTGCAACGCGCAATTTAGCGTGCAATTCAGCGTGCAATTCAGCCCACATGGCTCAGATATGCACATATGCACATCTGCTTCATATGCACATATGCACATATGCACATATGCTTCATATGCACATATGCACATGTGTTTCATATGCACAAATGCTTCATATGCAAGCATGTGCCACATGCGATGTGCAATCATATGTGATCTGCAAGCATATACGATCTGCAAGCATATGCGATCTGCAAGCATATGCGATCTGCAAGCATATGCCAGGTGCGATCTGCAAGCATATGCTACATTCCATGTGCAAGCATATGCGATCTGCAAGCATATGCGATCTGCAAGCATATGCAATCTGCAAGCATATGCCAGATGCGATCTGCAAGCATATGTCACATTCGATGTGCAAGCATATGAGATATGCAAGCCTATGCGATCTGCAAACATATACGATCTATGCTATGCTGTGATATGCCGTACGCGCTATGCTATGCTACGCTATGCCGTACGCGCTATGCTATGCCGTACGCGCTTGCGACAGCGCCGTGCAACGCGCAATTTAGCGTGCAATTCAGCCCACATGGCTCAGATATGCACATATGCACATATGCACATATGCACATATGCTTCATATGCACATATGCACATGTGTGTTTCATATGCACAAATGCTTCATATGCAAGCATATGCCACATGCGATGTGCAATCATATGTGATCTGCAAGCATATACGATCTGCAAGCAGATACGATCTATGCTGTGCTGTGATATGCGTATGCGCGATGCTATGCTAAGCTATGCCGTATGCGCTATGCATGCTTCATATGCACATATGCACGTATGCACATATGGTTCATATGCACATATGCACATATGCACCTATGCTTCGTATGCACATATGCACATGTGTTTCATATGCACAAATGCTTCATATGCAAGCAATGCCACATGCGATGTGCAATCATACGTGATCTGCAAGCATATACGACCTGCAAGCATATACGATCTGCAAGCATATGCGATCTGCACGCATATGCGATCTGCAAGCATATGCCAGATGCGATCTGCAAGCATATGCCACATTCGATGTGCAAGCATATGCGATCTGCAAGCATATGCGATCTGCAAGCATATGCAATCTGCAAGCATATGCCAGATGCGATCTGCAAGAATATGCCACATTCGATGTGCAAGCACATGCGATATGCAAGCCTATGCGATATGCAAGCATATACGATCTATGCTATGCTGTGATATGCCGTACACGCTATGCTATGCTACGATATGCCGTACGCGCTATGCTATGCCGTACACGCTTGCGACAGCGCCGTGAAACGCGCAATTTAGCGTGCAGTTCAGCGTGCAATTCAGCCCACATGGCTCAGATATGCACATATGCACATCTGCTTCATATGCACATATGCACATATGCACATATGCACATATGCTTCATATGCACATATGCACATGTGTTTCATATGCACAAATGCTTCATATGCAAGCATATGCCACATGCGATGTGCAATCATATGTGATCTGCAATCATATGTGATCTGCAAGCATATACCATCTGCAAGCATATGCGATCTGCAAGCATATGCGATCTGCAAGCATATGCGATCTGCAAGCATATGCGATCTGCAAGCATATGCGATCTGCAAGCATATGCGATCTGCAAGCATATGCGATCTGCAAGCATATGCGATCTGCAAGCATATGCGATCTGCAAGCATATGCGATCTGCAAGCATATGCGATCTGCAAGCATATGTCAGATGCGATATGCAAGCATATGCCACATTCGATGTGCAAGCATATGCGATCTGCAAGCATATGCGATCTGCAAGCATATGCAATCTGCAAGCATATGCCAGGTGCGATCTGCAAGCATATGCCACATTCGATGTGCAAGCATATGAGATATGCAAGCCTATGCAATCTGCAAGCATATACGATCTATGCTATGCTGTGATATGCCGGACGCGCTATGCTATGCTACGCTATGCCGTACGCGCTATGCTATGCTACGCTATGCCGTACGCGCTATGCTATGCCGTACGCGCTTGCGACAGCGCCGTGCAACGCGCAATTTAGCGTGCAATTCAGCGTGCAATTCAGCTCACATGGCTCAGATATGCACATATGCACATCTGCTTCATATGCACATATGCACATATGCACATGTGTGTTTCATATGCACAAATGCTTCATATGCAAGCATATGCCACATGCGATGTGCAATCATACGTGATCTGCAAGCATATACGACCTGCAAGCATATACGATCTGCAAGCATATGCCACATTCGATGTGCAAGCATATGCGATCTGCAAGCATATGCGATCTGCAAGCATATGCCAGATGCGATCTGCAAGCACATGCCACATTCGATGTGCAAACATATGCGATCTGCAAGCATGTGCGATCTGCAAGCATATGCAATCTGCAAGCATATACCACATTCGATGTGCAAGCATATGCGATATGCAAGCCTATGCGATCATAGCTAACTGCTATGCTATGATATGCTACGCTATGCTATGCTACTCTATGCTATGCTACGCTATGCTACGCTATGTACGGAGCTACGGCCCACTCGCGCGAACAGCGCGCTCTAGTCCGTCCGGTTGTCTGTCCGGTTGTCCGGAGCGTTTTGGAAATTCCGGGTCGGGAGCGTGCCGTACGCGCTTAAGACAGCGTCGAAAAGAACGAAAGGTCGCCGGTTCGATCCCTACTGCCATTACGTTTTATGTTTCATATATGTGCATATATGCATATATGTATATGCGATATGCAATATGCAGCGATATGCAGCGATATGCGATATGCAGCGTTATGCGATATGCAGCGATATGCAATTTGCGATATGCGATATGCAGTATGTGATATGCGATAGGCGATAGGCGATAGGCGATAGGCGATATGCAATATGCAATATGCAATATGCGATATGCGATATGCGATATGCGATATGCGATATGCGATATGCGATATGCGATATGCGATATGCGATATGCGATATGCGATATGCGATATGCAATATGCGATATGCGATATGCGATATGCAATATGCAATATGCGATATGCGATATGTTATACATATGCGCATGCATCTGCATTATGCAAGCATACACAGTCTGCAAGCATATGCCATATGCGATCTGCAAGCATATGCCAAATGCAAGCATATGCGATCTGCAAGCATTTGCGATCTGCAAGCATATGCGATATGCAAGCATATGCGATATGCAAGCATATGCGATATGCAAGCATATGCGATATGCAAGCATATGCGATCTGCAAGCATATGCGATCTGCGATCTGCAAGCATATGCGTTATGCCATGCTATGCTACGCTATGCTGCGCTATGCTATACTATGCTATGCTATGCTATGCTGCGCTATGCTGCGCTATGCTGTGCTATGCTGCGCTATGCTATGCTATGCTATGCTATGCTGCGCTATGCTATGCTATGCTGCGCTATGCTATGCTATGCTGCGCTATGCTATGCTATGCTGCGCTATGCTATGCTATGCTGCGCTACGCTATGCTATGTTATGCTATGCTATGCTATGCTATGCTATGCTATGCTATGCTATGCTGCGCTATGCTATGCTATGCTGCGCTACGCTATGCTATGTTATGCTATGCTATGCTATGCTATGCTATGCTATGCTATGCTATGCTATGCTATGCTATGCTATGCTATGCTATGCTATGCTATGCTATGCTATGCTATGCTATGCTATGCTATTATGCAAGCATACACAGTCTGCAAGCATATGCCGTATGCGATCTGCAAGCATATGCCATATGCGATCTACAAGCATCTGCCATATGCGATCTGCAAGCATATGCGATCTGCAAGCATAGGCGATCTGCGATCTGCAAGCATAGGCGATCTGCTATGCTATGCTATGCTACGCTATGCTACGCTATGCTGCGCTATGCTATGCTATGCTATGCTATGCTGCGCTATGCTGCGCTATGCTATGATATGCTGTGCTATGCTGCGCTATGCTATGATATGCTGCGCTATGCTATGCTATGCTGCGCTATGCTATGCTATGCTGCGCTATGCTATGCTATGCTGCGCTGTGTTATGCTATGCTATGCTTTGCTGCGCTATGCTATGCTATGCTGCGCTACGCTACGCTATGCTATGCTATGCTATGCTATGCTATGCTATGCTATGCTATGCTATGCTGTGATCTATGAGCACATGCAATCTGCAAGCATATGCGATCTGCAAGCATATGCCATATGCGATCTGCAAGCATATGCCATATGCGATCTGCAAGCATATGTGATCTGCAAGCATATGCCATATGCGATCTGCAAGCATATGCCATATGCGATCTGCAAGCATATGCCATATGTGATCTGCAAGCATATGCCATATTCGATCTGCAAGCATGTGCCGTCTGCAAGCATATGCGATCTGCAAGCATATGCCATATGCGATCTGCAAGCATATGCCATATGCGACCTGCAAGCATATGCTGTCTGCAAGTATATGCGATCTGCAAGCATATGCCGTACGAGGCTACTTCGATACTACGGCAATACTACAACAATACCACTACAATACCGCTATAATGCGAATATGGTGTTTCAGGACACAAGCTCCAAACATCCTGTGGTGTAATTCTGCCTTAGTGGTACACCTGCGAAGTGGAGGGCCTATGGCTTAATGGATAAAGCGCCGGTCTACGGAACCGGAGATTCCAGGTTCGATCCCTGGTAGGCTCGAAGGAATTACCTGGTGTGCGAAGCAATTCTGAGAGGTAGTGCATGTCTCGCACATTTTGGACGTGCACAGGTGAGGCATACACATATCCAGGCATCGTGGTCATCTTCCACAGAGATGACTCAGGCATGCGGTGCTCTCGCGACTTGTGCTCCAAGGGGGGGATGGGAGGATGACAACGAAAGTCGCTCCTGGCACAGAAAAACTATAGGAAGAGTCCACGCGTCCCCAGGCTTAGGCAGACTCCTCCGCACCTGTGTGGACAGTCTATCTGAGACAAAACGACGAATGACACGCTACCAGGCTGGGGCCCACCTAATGCTGAAAAGACACATCAGCATCACTTGTTGGAGACATGTCCAGCTGCTGATCAACCCAGGGAAGCCCCCTATTATTCACCCCACTCACCTATGGAATCCCCCTTATTGTCCACCCATTCCCAACATGGACACCAGGACCTATGCATGCAGATCCCACAAAAGGAGCATCAAGTGATGCATATGCCATAATCAGCCGGCCGTTCAATACTACTGTGTGGGATGGGGCCAGGTCGGGAAAAGGTTGATGGCCACATTACGCAGCATCCAACCACAACGAAAATGTTAAATTGGATGTGATG